GAGAGAGAGAGAGAGAGAGAGGGGGGGGGGTCAACAAGGCCGCCGCCGCTAGCTGCGGCCCGCAGCGCCGCGGCACGACTGGGGAGGTGTAGGTAGAAAACATGATCCCTTTGCCCCGGCGACTATTAGAAATGCCTTACATTCCGCCACGACAGTATACAGTACCGCGCGCAGCAGCGCTTTCACGATCACAAGCGCGGGCGAGTCGCCATCAGGAGACAGGAGGGAGCACGACATGGCAGGGCAAGACGGGGGCAGGCACGAGAGCGAGAGCGAGCGAGCGAGCGAGCGAGCGAGCGAGCGAGAGAGAGAGAGTGAGAACGATTCGCCATCACCGTCAACCACGCCGTCACCATCACCCCCATCATCATCATCTTGATGTCTAGCCGCCCTACGCTAATCAGTCACTTTCTCCCGCCGCTACGCCACGCCGCTACGCCGCTGTCGTGAGATCGTGCGTTCCGAAAACTGGGAGATCCTTTGGGGGCCGACTGGGCGGGTCATCGCAAAATAATGGCCCCATTTCACGCATTGTCCCGTGCCAGGTGAGGCGCCAGGGTTTGCCACCGCGTCCAAGCAAGTACGGTAAGTGAAAAGGATGGGCCAGCACAGCAAGGCTGCTCCGACTGCTCGCTCGCTCCATCTTCTTCTTATTCTTGCTCTCTCTCTCTCTGTCTCTCTGTCTCTCTCTCGCTCGCTCCACACGTCACACAGGAAGGAACAGGTTCCCTCTCTCGCCCCCGACTCAATGAGTGCGGCACGGCTTGGCCAGCAGCATTCCTATCCATACGGACGGCCTTGATGACCGGGGCGGAGGGGTCCAAACTGGAGCACAATGACCCGCGAACACACAGGGGACATGGGAAAAAGGGAGAGGGAGGGGAGAGAGAGGGGGTGAGAAAGACGGGAGGGGAGGAGAGAGAGGGAGGGGAGGAGAGAGAGGGAGGGGAGGAGAGAGAGAGAGACGCCGTCACGAAGAGTCGCAGCATCTCCCACAACAAGCACTCGTCAGATAAGGTACTAAATTGTGCGCAGGCGCGATAAACTGCACACCTCCTCGAGGTGCGCGCATTGTAAATCAGGGCGGGGCGGGGCGAGCACAACCGCGCCGGCCTGCGGGTGACAACACACGCTCCTCCCCCAACCCCTTCTGCCTCTCTCTCTCTCTCTCTCTCTCTCTCTCTCTCTCTCTCTCTCTCT